TTTTTAGCTAGTTATATCTTCTGTATCCGACATAGCTAAACGAAACTTTGATATATAACGCGTTCCTGAAAAAAGGATTCTTTTTTATTTGTGTATATTTTTTACTCATTTAAAAATAACAAAATATGCATAACTGTTATTACAGTGCATTGCGGCTGAATTTTCTTTTTGATTCTCCAGTTGTCAAGCTTATCAAGAAATGAGAAAAAATAAAAAGAAGAGAAAAAATGTCCACCTCAGTGCGCTTTCAAATGCCTCATAAGAAAAATATTATCAAACTGTTTTCCAAAGCCAGGTTTCAAAACGAATATGTTTTTCTTCGAACTAGTTTTAAAAAATCGTTTTTTACAGTACAAAATAACCTGGAGTACGAATATCGCCCAGRCTTTCTCCTGCTTTCTCCTGCGGTAATGCATTCAACTGATTATAGCTGGATAATGCAAAACTGCAGAAGAGACAGTAACTAATGTAAATGTTGATTTGATTTGATAATCAACAATAATACAGCAAGAATATAGCAGAAGAATAGAATATATAAAATTTATGAACGCGCGAAGATTAAACATTTTAAATATCTAGACAAACTATAAGCTCAAATATCAAATCCAAGACATCAATTTTGCTGTTACTCTGAGTTTCATGCTTATCATGTAATCGTGATACTCGGAGTAACAGCTTGTATTTGATCTATCTACAATCTATTACGCTCTGCAACATAATGCATCGAGCACTCTACTGCATGACAATATAGACTCAAGCATGCATATGTATATTGATAAATATATATCTATAGCATGTAGTAATAAACAGCTTCAAAAAGACCTAAACTATGAATTAAATRAACATGTCTTAAGTTTCTCTTTATAACTGTCAGTGGATGGTGCATTTCTTCTAAATTGCGACAGGTCATTCCACGGCATAGGCCCAAATATGGAGAACGCGACAACCATAGTTCCTAGTTCTAAACTGAGTGGTCCTCTTAGGCCGCGTAGCTTGTCTTGTTAGGCTTTGGTCTTTTAGGCGTTATTATCTCGTGSGAGGGCCATTAAATCTTTACCATCTCCCATAGTTGAGATATTGGTTATATATTTTATATAGCTGGTTCGGTTCTGCTCTGCTCTGTTCTGCCTCTACGTCGTCTGTATATTTGTATGAAAAAGCCATACACTCTCCGGATAATACCCAGAATCATTTCGAAAACTGCAGTGATCCTAGTTTTGAGGCGTTGGCATAGAAAAGGATCATTCTGTATTAAAATATATATATATAAATTATATTTAAAAAAATTAATATCAATATATAATTTTTTTTTTCAAGGAAAAACGTGATTTTACGTCAGTCATAATCACAGTAATTTAATTTAAATGTATCCTTTCAATTACTTACCAAAACTCTCAGAAGTTTAGATACAGCCAAAACAAGAATCAAACAAAGAGAAAAAAGAATACTTAGACTTGGTAGTGTAATCAAACCAACAGGACTCTCCGGGTTACCTATAGAAAAAAAGCTCACTGAATATTGAATATGATGTAAGTAATTATCATAATATTCAATGTGCGCCTGCTCTCTCTTGCAATGTATCATTTTAAGTGCAATGCACAAAACTTGCTCSAGTCAAAAAGTAAAAGAGTTATTAGTGTGAAGCAGGTTGGGTAATATATGGATAAACGAAAATTTCGATATTACCCGAAACAATTCTTTTGCTGCAATTAGAACAAGATTTTAAGACATGGTCAATAATATGTACTTATTGACTGAGTGGGAGGGCCGTACGGGAAAATATTTGGCTCGAGGTCATGTCGTACGGACCGAGCGCAGCGAGGTCCGTACAAATGACCGAGCGCCAAATATTTTCCCGTACGGCCCGACCTAACTCAGTCAATAAGCATTTTATCATATGACCCTCACGAAAATAAAAATARTTAAGAAAAAGAAAGCGCGCGGATTCGAGCAGGGCCGGACGGGTTTTTCCGGCCCGCTTACGTCAACCCGTCCGGCCCCCGTCACGTGACTTTTTCCAATGGTTTTATTAGAGCGCGCGAGCAGGGCCGTACGGGTCATATGATAAGTTTACATATGTACCGAGGTCACATTTTATCTCTGATAAAGTCTTCCTCATTAGCATCCATATCATTAGTAATTTTTATATAAAGAATATTAATGATGAGGATTTTACGGGGTTTAAATGTCCATGCACGTGACGTCGTTCCAATTAGTTCAAACGCTCATTAATTATTCATAGGTTTTGAAATCTATCTTATAATCCGGCTTTATAATCTTTATCATAGGATATATATTCTTTTTTTTCCTTCATGATACATTGCAACACAAATTCCTGTTGTATTCACTATAGCCATAATCTTTTTATTGATTGTATAAAGCTTTTAACACACATCTTACAATGGCAACATAATGATGCTGCAAGCGAACCTCGGACAAAGAGAAGGCACATACTTTGAGATCCTTAGAATATATCAATCTCTTTCAAAGTTWGAGATGTTATTGATAATTGGCTGAAATGTTTATGAAACGTGTATCTTTGGGAACCCTGTGCCGCCCTACTCGTGTTCCCTGGCACTAGTCAGGCCCAAGTGAAATGCAAGGAGCCGCCATCATGATGTTTGTTCGTTTGCTTTAGAATTCAAGAGTAACACATTTGTAAATGCAATAACAAGACTTAACTACCACAGGGTAAGTTTTATTTGTAATCGGTCATTAATACAAGACCCAGCTTATGTATAATTCTAGGCCATTATTGCTGTTTCGCTTAATAAAACCGTGGAATCAAAGTAACCCGTGTCACATGTTGATAATGAAGAAATGTAATGACAATTTCAGAAGGTCTTTCAGAAGCCAATTTAACTATATTTGAGGGAAAACGAACAACAATATTACATGACTTATATATACTCCTTCTTAAACAAATTGCGCAAGCCAAAATTCACGTACAAAGGTTGCAGAACTATGTCTTGACAGTATATTTTCATACTCCGTTGTTATTGTAAAAATTACCAAAACAATCAATTTTTGCATTGAAAATAATACTTAAAGCAGGTATCAAATATTATATATCATTGTTTAAATGCAAGGATGTAATAGAGTGAAGTCATTGATTAGCAGACCCTAATAATATTTTCTATAGTGTCTATTGGACTATTTGATTTCGCAGGTTAAGTGTATTCGCTCTATTGTTGTCGGCGTGTCTAAAATGCGGGTAACGGGTAACGGGTAACAGGTAACGGGTAACAGGTAACAGGTAACGGGTAACGGGTAACGGGTAACAGGTAAAATATATAAATCAATAATTCATATGATGAATAACCATGAAAATATAAATATAGTATAAAACAATAATAATAATGAATACAAGAAAACTCCCTGGTTTATGACCGTGTTTCCACTAGGAAAATTTAACTCGTCTAAGATTCCATAAGGTGTCATTGTCGTGCCCCGGAAATAAGGCAAAGTTATACTACGTAGCAAGATGGTTTTAAGTTAACAAAGTGGTTTTCTTCTTTAGTAAACAAACACCTCAAGGAATGTTATGCTTGCGATGTTCCGACCACTATGGCGTACATTCGGGGCCAAAAATCGAACTTTGCATTTTACATTGTACTTTCTGTTTTTTTTGCCAACATCATGTTTTTGACATACAACTTTGAAGATATAAATGCTTAGTTTTCATATTCGACTTCCAACATTTCTTATTCTACTTGCTAGTTTTGCTATTCCGATATATACCTTTGTTATAACATGCAAGATTTCTCATTCGACATCCAACCGCAATCCAAGAGATAAATGTATCGCGGACTCATTTACTGTTGTCCCCCACCCCCAAGTAGGACATGTCAAAACGT